GTCTGTAGAGGGGAAGACCTCAGGGATTAATGTATAACGAGGTGGGGAGCTGAGCCGACCCCCAGATCCAGCGTGTGCCCGTGTGGACCTGAGTGCCTGATCCGGGTGCCCGGTGGGGGGCTGGGGACGGAGTCACGAGTGGTGCAGTGTGGCCAAAAGGGAACCAGAAATTCCACTTGCATTTTCGCTCCTCTTTTAACTTAGCTTTTCCTTTTTTTAATGTCCTTTGTAGAGTTTTGAAAATTAATTTTAATTCGTTTTTGAAATTATCACCTAGTAACATTGACTTTTTGGTGTACACTGTAACAGCCGTAACACGTACAAATGCGTGTCACCACCACAGTTGGAATGTGGGATGGTCCCCCCCCCAGCTCCCTTGTGACACCCATTTACAGTTCTTTCCGCTCCCAGCCCCGGCAGCCATGGGTATGTCACCAGCACTGCAGCTTTGTCTTTTTGACGATGTCATTTAAATGTAATTACAATGAACATAACCTTTTTTTTTTTTTAAATTGGGGAATTGGGGGAGGGGAGCAGTATTGGAGAGTTTGGGAAGGGGAACAGCCAACTTGTCCTTCAATCTTAGTTGTGGAGGGCACAGCTGGCTCAGCTCCAATTCCAGTCACCAGCTGTCCGTTGGCAGCTCGTGGCTGCTCAGCTCAAGGTGCTGTGCTCAATCTTAGTTGCGGGTGGGCGTAGCCACCATCCCATGCAGGAGTCGAACCGGCAACCTTGTTGTTAGGAGCACGTGCTTTCACCAGCTGAGCCATCCTGCCACCTGTTGGCAGCTCAGCAGCAGCTCAGCTCGGACGCAGCTCACTGGCCCATGTGGGAATCGAACCAGCGGCCCTGTTGCTCAGAGCTCGTGCTCTTAACCAACTGAGCCACTGGGCCAGCCCCTGTACATAACCTTTTGAGATTGGCTTCTTGCACTCAGTGTGATGTCTTTGTGATTCATGCAAATTGTCACGTGTGTCAATGGTTGAGTCCTTTTTATTACTAAGCAGTATTCCATTATACAGATGTACCACATTCTGTTTACCCATCCATGAATGGAAGGGCATTTGGGTGGTTTCCACTTATTGGCAATTATGAATAGAGTTGCCATAAACCTTTGTGTGCACGTTTTTACGTGAACATAGATTTTCATTTTCTAGCATCATATGGTTGCGAGTGTATTTAACTTTCTAAGAAACTGATGACTTTCCCAAAGCGGCTCTCCCACTGCAGTCACACCAGCAAGGTGTGAGAGCTCTCTGCTTCATACCCTCACCATCCCTTGTATCTTAGTTCTGTGTTAGCGATTCTAACAGTTGTGTTAGGGGTATCACATCAGGGTTCTAATCAGCATTTTCCTAATGGCTAAAAATGTTGAAAATCTTTCCATGTGCTTATGTCATACTTTGGTGAAGGCTCTGTCCAAGACTTTCCAATAGTTTTAAAATTGATTTTGTTTTCTGACGATTGAATTTTGAGAGCTCTTTATATATTCTAGATACAAGACCTTTGATGTATGATTTGTGACTGTTTGACCCCAGGCTGTATGTACCTTATCTTTTTACTCTCTTAATAGTGTCTTTCACCAGCAAGATTTTTTAATTTTGAGGAAGACCAGTTTACCCATTTTTTTTATATGGATTATGGTTTTGGTGTCATAACCTGTAAATTTTTTTTTTGCCTAACTTCAGGTCATGAAGGTTTTCTACATTTTCTTCTAAAATTCTTTTCTTTTATGTTTTATACTTAGATCTATGATACGTTTAAGGTGTGAGGTTTTAGGTCAAGGTTCTTTTTGAAAATTATTTTGTTTGCATATAGTGTCTAATTGTTTTACCACATTATTTTCAAAAACACTGTCTTTGCACCATAGAAATGCTTTCGCACCTCGATTAAAAATCAGCTGGCCCATTATTACTGGAATCTATATCTTCCATTGGTCTATATGTCTGTTTGTCCTCTCACAGGTAACCCACTCTCTTGATTACTGTAGGTTTATCGGAGTCTTAAAATTAGATAAAGTAACTCCCGCAACTTTATTTTTCTTTTTCAAAATTCTTTAAGCTATTTCAGTTTCTTTGCTTTTCCAGATAAAATTTAAAATCAGCTTCTGTGTATCTACAAAACAATCTTACTGGGATTTTAATGGAATTGCATAACTCTGTCAATAAATTTGGGAAGAATTAACATCTTTACTGCTTCCAGTCTTTTAACACTTAAACATGGTATATCTCTCCATTGCTTTATATCTTTGCTTTATTTCACGAGTATTTTGTGATTTTTCTGGCCATGCATCTTATATATCTTTTGTTTAATTTTTGGACTTGTCATAGCAATTTTATAAAATGTTAATTTATAATTTATACTGGTAGTATATTCAGTGAATCATGGCTGATTTTTGTGTGGTAATCTTGTATTTTTGTGACCTTTCTAGGCTCACTTATTAGTTCTAAGAGATGTTTTTTGTTTTTTGTTTCTCTGTAGATTCTTTGGAATTTTCTATATAGATAATCATGTTGAATTCAAATAGGGACAGTTTTGTCTCTTAATTTCTCATCTATAGGCCTTTTATTTCATTTTTCACATTGCACCAGTTATGAATTCCTGTACCGTGTTGAATAAGACTGATAGGATTGGACATTCTCTTCTCAATCTTAGGATGAAAGTATTCAGTCTTTCACCAGTAAGTGTGATGGTAGTTGTAAGTTTTTTTGTGGATGCTTTTTATTGGGTTGAGCAAATTGCGTTCTGTTCCTGATCTTAGATTTTTGATCATGAGTGGATCTTTTATATTTGATTAACAATTTTTTGCTTTTTCTACATCAGTTGATATGACCCTATGCTTCATCCTCTTTAGACTGTTCATAGTAAATCGTGAATCACATTCATAGGTTTCAGAATATTGATGTAGCCTTGCATTCCTGGGATAAACACTTCTTAGTTGTGGCATATTATTCTTTGTATATATTGATGTATTGATTTGTTTATATTTTGTTGACAATTTTTGCATCTGTGTTCATGAAGGATATTGATATGTATATTTTAGTTTTGGTACCATCTTTGTATTTTGTTTCATAGTAACACTTGCCTTGTAAAATGAGATGTATAATGTTCTCTCCTCTTCTGATTTTTGGTATAGGTTGTATAGAAATGGTGTTACACTGTCTTTAAATGTTTGGCAGAATTTCCCAGTATCTACCTGGGCCTGGAGGTTTCTTTTTTAGGATGCTTTTAACTACATTTCAAGTTATTTAATAGCTTGTAGAAATATTCAGGTTATCTATCCCATCCTGGGTGAATTTTGGTACTTCATCCTTTTTGAGGAATTGGTTCATTTTATCTTAGTTCTCAAATTTATGTGCATAGACTTGGTTATAGATTATGATTCCCTGTTATCCTTTTAATGTCTGCTGTGTTGGTAGTGATATCTGCTTTTTCATTTCAAATTCACTGGTAATTTTTGCCTTTTATCTTTTTTTCTTTGTAAATCTTACTAGAGTTTTCTCAATTTTACTGATCTTGCAAAGAAACCAGCTTTTGGTTTCATTTATACTCTTTATTATTTTTATGTTTTCAATTTCATTTATTTCTGCTTTTATCTTTATTATTTTCTTCTTTCTGCTTGCTTGGGTTTAACTGTCTATTCTTTCTCTAGTTTTATAATGTGAAAGTTTAGCTTATTGATTTGAGACCAGTCTTCTTTCTCAGTATAAGCATTTAGTGCTATGCATTTCCCTGTATGCATTTCTTTAGGTGAATCCCACATATTGATATATTGCATTTTCCATTTCGTTCTTTGCAGATTTTATTTTCTTTTTATCATTAGTTTCAGGTGTACAAAACAGCATACTGATGAGACATTTACACCCCTCACAAAGTGATAACCCCAACAAGTCTACTAGCCATCTGACACCGAATGTAGCTCTTATAATACCATTGACTGTATTCCTTATGCTGTACTTTACATCCTGTGGCTATATATATTTTTTAGTTATAGTTGACACTCAGTATTATTTTATATTAGTTTCAGGTGTGCAGTGTAGTGGTTAGGCATTTATATAATTTATGAAGTGACCCCCCCATAAGTCTAGTACCCATCTGACACCCTAATCGTTATTACAATACTTTTGCCTATATTCTCCATACTGCACTTTACATCCCGTGACTCTTCTGTGATGACCAATTTGTCCTCCTTAACTCCCTTCACCTTTCTCACTCAGCCCCCCCCCCCAGCCCCCCTCCCATCTGGCAACCATCAGTTTGTTCTCTGTATCTATGAGTCTGTTTCTGTTTTGTTTGTTCGTTTACACTGTTCTCCAGATTCCATGTATAAGTGAGGTCATATGGTATGTTCTTTGTAGATTTTCATGTTCTGTTTTCCACAGACTTGCTTACACTTTAGACTGTTAGGGTCTATACGGACTTGAGACTGTGGTTTTGCCACTGTAGACGCTGTTGGCATTTACCACCCAGGCAGGTTTGTGTTAATGCACTCCTTCCCTCACGCCATAGCTGCGTATTGAGTGCTCAGTCTAGTTCGGGCCCTCTCCTAGACACTGCAGATACAGCGCTGAACAAAACAGTGAGAATTCCTGCCTTTTTGGAGCTTACGTCTTAGTGGGAGGTTAGATAATAAACGGGGACACAGTACAGTTTTAGGTGGTGATACACGAGAGGGAGAGACGTGCTGCGTTCCATCATTTCATGTAGTGAGAGTGTGTGTGAGACAGAGAGGCACGACGCTGAGGAGGCGTCATTTGAAGCGAGACCTGAAGGAAGTAAGGGGGCTGCCGGGTCCTTTGAAGAGCCTTCAAGGCAGAGAGAACGAGACATGAACAAAATAACAGTAAAGAGCGGAAGGGCGGGAGGCGTGGTCTTCGTTAGGGACGGCAGTTCTGAATTGGTCTGTCCCACCCCCAGCAGCTAATTCCCACCCAGTCTCGCCCACATGGGTCTCGGTCTATCTCGGGAGCTTGCTGCGAGCTGTTGAGCTGCATCCCTTCTGATTCTGACGCACGGAGGGTCCGGTTGGCATCGAGGCTTCTGAGTTTCAGCCGGGCACGCCAGGTGAGTCTGGTGCAGCGAGGACCACACGGGGCATTCTCCGGTTTCTCAACGCCACCGTGTCACTTGGAATTTCTAAAGGCAGCGTGACATGACCGCAGGGCTGAGGCAGCCATCCACGCAGCCAGCCAGAGAGGCCCCTAACGCTTGTCCATCTTCCCCACACAGAAGGTTCAGCCTCATTATTGCGGCAGCTATCACGGCACAGCCTCCTGGGAGGGAGGCGACGGACCCTGCCATCGTATTTTTTCACAATCTGGAAGCATTGGCCGTTTGAGTTGCAGGATGTTATTTGAAAGGAAAGAAATTTGTCTCTTGGAAGAGAAATAAAAACAAAAGCAAATAGACAAGTACAGATTGTAATTAGTTAGTAGCAAGATAATTAGTGGCAAAACCGCCTCTGGGCAGGAGCTGGGGCGAACCTCTCCGTCCCTGCGTTTGAGGCTGTGACCCCACTAACTGCTTCTTAGTCCTTGTATTCCAGGATCCTCATTGATATTGTGCTGCCAAGACCTCAGGGACCTGCCGTAGCCATTTCCCCACAACTTACAGGGAGACCGGAGCCCAGTTGCTGGGGAGATTAATTAACTTGTCAAACAATTAAGCAGACAGGCTGTAATCGAGGTTTCCATTTCATAATTGATTTATCACTTTGTAGCTTCTTGAGTCCCAGGGCTCAGAATGCAGGGACTGCCACGCAGGGAAAACCTTTCAGACGGTGGCGGGGGGCTGCGAGGAGGGCAGCAGGGGAGCACCACCGGTCCTGCACGCACCCAGCGGGCCAGCATGGCCCCTGACGGACCTTCCACATACATTGAGAATTTCATTTTCCTCTCCCAGCAGCCCTGGCCAGGTAGTTCCTGCCGTGTCCCCAGGGCCTCGCCCTGTCTTATATTGTTTGGACAGGCAGACTCCAGGGAACAGCCACGGGGCCACCTACAATGTCAGCGCTTCTCATCTGCGATGAAAGTGCCTGGAGAAATGTCACACATTATTAATTCATGCTGTGACTGGGACTCAGACCTGCCTTCATGGTGTTCAGCGAGACCTCACAGGTCCTTTCGGGGATGCGGCACCCCGATAGCAGAGCCTGGGGTGTGCGGCACTGAGCTGGCTGTCCCAGCTTCTGCAGGCAGCAGCATCACTGGGGGCACAGCAGGCAAAGGTGCGTCCCTGTCCCCACCCCAGAGGTGCCGCCTCCGAAGGCGGTCTCGGGTGGGGCTTTAGAATCTGCCCATTGGATTAACCCTCCAAAGATTTAGTGTTTAGATCAGAGTAGAGTGATTTGGGGCCCTGGCCACCAGGTGTCCTGTCGAGAGGCACTCTATGTCTCCTGGCCCTTTACCAAGCAGGTGGGTACCAGCCTGGGGGTCCTGGGGGCCTGGTGCTCTCTGGATTGGTCCCTGTAGGGATGCGTCAGTGACCCGGACCAAAAGGCAGGAGTGTTTGCTGTAAATGGAAAAGAAAGAAAGGCGGAAGCAAACGTTTCTTCTGCTTTTTTGGGTTTTCTCCTTCTTGGTACTTGTGGATGGGTTCACTGTGTGTGTGTGTGTGTGTGTGTGTGTGTGTGTGTGTGTGTGTGTGTATGTGCGCGCGCGCGCGCACGCATTCTTGTTTCATTATTTCCCTACATCTCCTAAGTTATATTTTCGAACAAGGCGTTGTGTCACTACTCTTTTCACCCCGCTCTGCCCTCATTGTCAGCTCTCTCCCCTCCTTCACTTCCAGCGACATCCCTAGACTCCCCAAAGCAAATGGGCACTGTCATCAGCTCTCTGAAGTCCTAAAGTGTCATCACCCTAGGGCCTCAGGCCTCGATAATAAGCTTCAAAGAATGGCCCTCATTTAGGGACTCACCCCGACTGTAGGCTGTTTCCCACCAGGAGGTTCAAACGTGTGCACAGTTTGCAAGAATCTCTTTACATGCCACATAACCAGCATAACTTTTATGAATTTGCTTCAAAGCAAATGGCTTTTTAATAAAGCATTATAGATATTCTAGAAGCCTCTTCTCCTCCCCACATTCTCCTCTCCCCTCCCCTGCAGCCACCATTATCCTCAGCTGACGTCTCCGCCATTTTTTAATGTCTACCTTCTGTGTGCGTGTGTCCATAAGCGACACATCCTATTGTTTTTAAAATTTCTGATTTATGCCATTGACATTCTTTACCTGTCATTCAGAGTGTTAACAGTTATTCCTCAACTTGCTTTCGCCACTAAACATTGTATTTTCAGGATGTATCTTCTTTTTGCCTTTTGTAGGCCAAGCCCAATCCTTTTATCTGCTGTAAAATATTCCTTCATTTGTGTGTGATTTTGTCCTCTGTGTCATGGCCATTGCTTTCCCATTCGATGCAATACTCTAGTGACCATGACTTTTCATGTCTTCCGTGTCACACAAGCAAGGGCTTCTTTTGGGTAAATACCTAGGAATTGCTGTATTGTAGACTATGCATGTTTTGGATTACATTTGAGCAGACATTGCCACATTTCCCTACTGAGTACTTGTTCTAATATACAGAGGGTGCCAAAAAAATGTATACACATTTATAAGAAAGGAAAAAACTGTATTAAAATTGTAATGCTCAATATATACCCATAACAGAAGACGAATACAAGTCATGTGTAGACATTTTTTTGGCACCCCCCAGTGTAAGGATGTGAGAGTTACCTTGTCCCATGTCGCCACCCAAACATTCGATGGTCAAACTATATAAATTTCCACCAAGTACAGTTTTAGTTTCCTACACAGCCAGAGCTGAGAGTGAATCATAAATTATTCCTTTCACAAAATTTTCAGAAGAGGACCTAGGCTTAAATGGATAACCCACAAAATGAAGGAGTGAGAAAGAGTTTAAACTTAGGAAACGCAGGTCCCCAACAATGTGTTCTAAAAACACAGTAAAGCCTCATGTATTGAGCTCTCCGTAAAAAGTGCACACATCAGTACAACAGCAAAGAAAAAAAAATTACATAGAGTCTATTTTTAATTGCAACAGTTTGAACTGAAGGCAGATGAATATAAATTACAGCTTGCTGGGTCTCAGCTCTCCCAAACCCTTTGATTTTGCTGTATGTGAGGCATCCACACAAGTGTAGCATTAAAGCAGGGTCAGCCGTACACGGCTCCTTTCTTTTATGGACGCTGCTGAAATTGTACGCGCCCGGCCGCACTGCCCGTCACTTCGCTTGCACCTTGCAGTGGCCGAGCCTGTGTCCCATGACTCCCTCCCACACACAATTTTCCTCTCACTGAGCATGCAGCGATCAACTGGAGGCCAGCCTTCACTTGGATTATTATGCTGTCTGCACTTGAGAAGCCTCTATTAATGAGGACTTGTAGAAACTGAATAATTGATGTCTGCGTGTTTCCGAGCTTAATTATCAGCCACACGGATACCCGTCACTTTGTATTTGGAGGCCTAGCCTTGGTGGCCGCAGCTCTGAGGTCATACAGCCAGACTCGTTGCAGGGAGGTTTAGAGTGTAGGGTTCACCCAGTCGCCTTGTCCCCTGAAGTTAGCTCATAGAGCCCAGATGCGTATCTGGATAAGATTCAGGTAGTTATTGACCATCTTTTATAAGGAAGCACTGGGTTACAACTCATCGTATGCGCAGCTGATGACATGACGTCTCCTGGCATTCACAGAGCACACGCAAATAACCCTAACATCCGCCAGATCGGTACTGTGTTTCCCTGAAAATAAGACCAGGTCTTATATTAATTTTTGCTCCAACAGTCTACATTTATTCGTTTATTCATGTACAAAAATCTACATTTATTCAAACAGTCATGCCTGGCTGACGATCTTAACTGGGGCTTGTGTTTGGGGTAGGGCTTATATTACGAGCATCCTGAAAAGTCATGCTAGGGCTTATTTTCCAGTTAGGTCTTATTTCCGGGAAACATGGTAGGAATGAGATGTGAACCAGGAGACTGGAACAGAGTAGCCCCCCTGAAACTGGCATTCGTTCTCTGACAAGGAGAATTTGAATTGAAAGCCTGTATGCAGAGCACTCCGTGAATGTGTCAACGTGATATATCCACAGAGAGATGAGGTTGAAATGTAGACGCTCAGGGCCCACCCCTCAGAACCCCTGACTTAGAATCGCTAACGGACCTGACAGTCTGCATTCTGAGCCAGTGTCCCTGGATCTGTGATTCTCCAGCTTTTCGTGCATGAGAATCCTGCGGAGGTGGCTGGGCCCCAGCAGATTCTGATTTTGGGGTCTGGGGTGGGGCCGGAAAATTGGCATTTCTTCTTTTTCCTCTTCCTCTTCCTCTTCCTCCGCCTTCATCCTTTCTCCCTTCTTCTTTCTTCTTTTTTTTTTATTATAAATTTTATTGGGGAACAGCCATGGTCATTGGTTACACATTGCTTTCATGCTGTTGGGTTGTTGGAAAAGTCATGACGCATTTTTGCAATGAAAAACAGAAAAAATACGTCATGACTTTTCCGACAGCCAAATGCAATGGCACAGCTGACTCCTTTAGGGAGGGCGCAGCTCACAGTGACCCATGCGGGGATCGAAACCGCAACCCTAGTGTTATCAGCACCACGCTCTAACCAACTGAGCTAACCGGTCACCCCCAAGAGAATCTGCTTTTATATGCAAGTTCCCAGGGGATGCTGACCTAGAGCTTCTGCTCTGAGAACCAGTGCCCTGAGAGGTTCTTAGGAACACTGACATTTGCAAAACACTACCTACGTAATTATTCGCTCTTGATTATGTCACCCAAAGATGAAGGTATGGGGGGGGAAAATAGCAAAGAGGAAAGAAACGAGTAGGGGTGCAACCAGTTTGCAAATCATTCAGAATTCGCACCGTCCTTGAATTTTACTGAGGAAAGAATTTTACTCGCTTGGTCTCTAGAATCGTTACAGTCTAATGGGGGACTTCATACATACAGTAACAACCTGTAAGTGACAGAGGCTTAGAAACACGCCAGGGGCCTGCTCCGTATGCCTCATATTGGGGAGTAATTCCACAGGAAAACCTTGT